TTACATGAATCTTACTCAGCTTAGATTTCCAAGGTTCTGTTCTCTTTGTTTGTAGCATGTATTAAACACTCCGCTCTAAACCATAAACGCTGATGTTAGCCTAAACCATGGAGCCCTAAACCCGGCCCCTAATCCCTAAACCTGATATTAGCCTAAACTCTGACCCTATTGGTCCAAGGACCCAAATAATATCGATTTAGGGCCCAAATACCATTACTATATACCCCCTTTCTCTATCCACTTAAGGGGGACTATAGACTCTAGACCCTAAACCTTAAACCCTAAACCCTAAAACCCTAAACCCTAAAAGCCTCAACCCAAAAACCCTAGACCTCTGAACCCGGAATCTTGAACAAAGGCTCCCTATTTCAGCATAACCCAGGCTTACAAAGAAGCTAGACCCTAAACCCTTATCACCAAACCCTAAACCCTAAACCCGAAACCCTAAACCCTAAAACCCTAAACCCTAAACCCTAGTTTGTTAAAGAGCTACTTTGAAGTGTCGCCCAGGTCAGCGCTACAGCGAGATCTTCCACGACGCTCGTGGAAACGCGCGACTGCACCTTGTTCTGCAGCAACATACAGGGGCTGTGTATACTCATATATAGATGAATATATATATATACACACGTACATACGTACATACATACATACATACATACATACATACATACATGGGGGTATGGAAGGGTTTTTGAGGCTGTGCAGTTGAAGTCAGGGCGTCAGGGTTTTTGAGGCTGCGCGGTTGAGGTCAGGGCGTTTAATTAGGGTTGAGGGGATGTATGTGTACGTATGTGTATATATATGTATATACATATCGGGTTTGGGGATATGTAACAGCATACACAAGCTATGTGTCGTAGCTATGTTAGGCGTGATGCTACCAAACACGCTGAAGAACGCAGTAATTGTGATTTTCGGATATGTGGGGCTCACGGGTAGCAGCATAATGCAGGAGGACATTTTGAAGGATGCATGGTGTAAGTATTGTGGTTTAACGTGTGGGAACCAGGGTCTGGGTTTCAGGGTGTTGTCCAATTTGCTTGGAGCAGTTACTAAGTGGGCTACAAGGGCAGCGGACCCCAAGTAATGGTCCTGCGGAACCGTGAGATTCCAGCGCAGTTCGTGCCAAGGACTTCCACCCCCAATCAAGGATTTAGGCTTTGGGGTTCTAGATTTAGGGTTGGGGTTCAGGGTTAAGGGATCTTAGGCACAGAGCTCTACACTTGAATTCCCCAATCCCAATCTCTACCCAAACCCCCCCGAAGAAGGGGCGCGGTTTGTAGGCCGGACTATTCTACACGAGATTCTGCCTTCTCCAAAGAGATCTAAACATGGTATCTTGAGAATGTCCCCCGTCTCAGCACTGTCTTCGTGCTTGCTGAAATTCTTTTGACGTTTTGATGGATACAACACTTGCACTTCATCTTGAGTTGTTACCCTAAACCCCAAACTCTAAACCGTGGTTCAAACATGTATGTCCGTGAAAAGGCTTGCATTTCAGTGTTGAGAAGGTCCCACGCTCTCAGCACGAAACTCGGAGACTCTAGAACCCTGAGGGTTGAGGGTTTAGAGTTTAGGGTAATCCTAGACCCTTAAATGCTACACCCTAAACCCTAACCAAGGACCCGTGGAGTCATCATCTACGAGACCTCAATGCCACTGATCTCCAAGCGACGGTGGCACAAGTTTGTGGAGTCTCTTCGACTCCAGGACATAGCTGTAGGGTTTAGAGTTTGAGGATTACGGTTTAGGGTTTAGAGCCCTAAACCCTAAAGTCTGCAGTCTGGGATTATGGTTTAGGGTTTGGAGTTTAGGGATTTGGGTTAAGGGTTCAGGGTTTAGGGTTCTAGTTCTGCCTTTACCAGCTGCAGGGCTTGCAAATACCTTGGAACTCGTAATGCATGGGGATTATGGTATTAAAGTAAATTAAGGTCATGCAGGATCTTTAGTATTAACAGTAGAGCTTTGTTGGAGCTTGATTTGCTTTGCGGTAGTCTAGGAGGGTGCTGCATTTCATTTCTCAACAGAAACACGACCAACAAGGGGTCCATCTTTCTGATAAACATTCAGGGATATATGGATGGAACTGGCGTGGCTGAGGAATCAGCAAGCACTTAGTGCCTCAGATGCCATCAGTTTGTGACAAGTGAGCCTAATATGTACTTGTGTCAGGGGGCTCAGTAATCATATGCATAGTGGAGGATGACTGGTGTTATCATTATGCCTAGGTAGCCTAACAACCGCAATCAAAACACTTGATCCCAAACATTCATACTGTGTAGATGAGGGTCTTTACCTAGGAGTTGGTTGCTTTGGGAACCCTGAGCCCCAAATCCTTAAATGCCTCAACTCTTTAAACCCTAAACCTTAAATCCCTTAACAAACCCTTTCTGATCGTTTGGTTACCCAAGTCCCTAAAACCTAAACGAGTAGACTTACTAAGTCTCCCTCGAGTAGGCTTCAGGGCTCAGGATGAAATTTCCACCTGGAGGACAGCGACACAACAAGTTATAAGGGTTTAGGGTAAACGGTTTCCGATGTTTTTGGATCCAAGGTGTTGGGGTTTAGGTGGGTGTTAGGGTTTAGGGCTTTTAGGAGGTGGGGTTGGGGAGTTTAGGCATTTTAGGGCTTAGGGTTTAGGGTTATAAGATAATATCCTATCGTCTCTCGCAGTCACTCTCTCTAGATAACCTATGATTCTACTAGTGTTTCATGATATACATACTCATGAAACCCTAAACCCTAGGTCGATTCCCCGGTACGGTAATCTCAGCAATCGCCCTTAAATGTAGGGTCAATAGCTAACACACCCACAACAGTCCTCTGCAGTACTCACCAATGGGTGGGGTATTGACCCAACCCTGAACCCTAAACCCTAAACCTTAAACCCTAAACCCTGAACCCAAACCCTAAACTATTAATAAACCTTAAGCCCTGACATGTACCGAGTCCAGGACGACTGTGAGTTGGACGAGGGTGACAACGGGCCTCGCGGGGGTGTGCCGACCGTGGAGAACCCGCCGCTGAGATTTAGGTTTAGGGGGCTTAGGGCGTGCAGTTTAGGGCTTAGGGCTTAGAGTCTAGGACCTAGGGTTCATGGTTGATAACATTGCTTCGCTCTCATGGGCAAAAGCGCGACTGTTCCCAATTTCAGTTTGTTCAAGCAGCTCCCTTCCAGGGCCAGTAGGAAGCAGGGCCGGTTTTAGGCTTCCCAGGCCCCTAAGCTTGGGGGAGCGTGACTTTGAAAAGACCTTGCCATTGTTACCTGGTTTACATGCAGGGCCTGAGACCATGAACCTCACCTAGCTGGGAGAACAGACTTGTTTCAAATTCTTCCAACCAGGCTGTCGAACATACCCCAGACTCCGAAAGTAGGCCAAAAGCCAGAACAAGCATCGACAAGACCAGTTTTTTTACATGTTTTTGGGTCCACACCCTAAACCCTAAACCCTATGGCCACCATTGGGTGTATCAGAGTGTATCACTGGTGTGTTGTAACCGACATCACAAGAAACTCGCAGCCCAAAATTGCCCTAAACTGGGTTGCTGTTAAGGAACTTAAATTAAGTTACCATAATGGGCATATATAGTAAATAATAGGGTTTCCCCAATATAGTGACTTAACTTCAGTTCCTTAACAGCAACCCAGGAAACCCTTTGTATCCTGCAACCCCAATCTCTACACCCCAAGGCCAAGCCCCTGCAACCTACACCCTTTCAAAATTCCCCTAGGAATTTGGGGCCGATGTGCAGGGTTTAAATGTTTAAATTTGTTTGTTAACTGTTTTTCGAGTGCCTAAACCCAAGAATTCGGGTACTTGGACCTTACACACTTGCACTTTTCGAAACGAATGTGGTTCCCCATGTACCCTCAACAATGCTAGAGTATCTACGGTAAGGTATAATTAGCGAATGGGACTTCCAGCTGGCGATTAAGGTACGACTACCTGGAGCATCCTAGTGTGCCCCTGGACCGCGTGCAGCGCTTTGGCGCCTTGGCGATTGTCGGGGAGTGCTTTTGTGTTGGCATGGCTGAAGGGGCTTGTCGTTTATAGTATATAGATTGGTCCAGAGACATGCTAGTTTACCTGCAGTTCTGCATTTCTCCTGGAACCCCGTCTTACATCTCCAAATTTCATAATTCACGACTAGATGCACTTTACATCCTTTAGGGCTAGCTGTTGTGTAGGGGTTTAGCCTGGACCCTAAAACGCACGCTTAGGGTTAAAGGTACTGATGAAACCTGATTCCTATAACATCATTGCTTTGCATCCCTGAACTCGCCTAGTCCTTGGACCAAAGCAACCATGGGTCGTTTTTGGACATAAGTTCTACTCTTAAGCATAGTGCATCCAAGTAGCAAGGAAGATAGGCGCATACTCCTTGCAACCCTGAACCCTAAACTGTATGCCAATAAGGCAGATGTAAACCCCCCAACCCTACAGTGGATGAAGGAAATGCTTCTCCACTTAGGTTCTCAGAAGTACTTATTTCATAGTATCGAGTTGAAAATAGTGCAAGGTTTCGTTCATCCACAAAGCCTAAACCCTAACTACCACACCCCTAAACCCTACCCGATAAGTCCCTCTTAAAAAGCCACAATATACCTACATGTTTCTTATAAGCCCCTTTCAAGGTACCCCTCATTCTGGGTAACCCCAAACCATCCATCCACCCTTGTGTAACACCCATAGCCCCCTTTACGGGGAAGGCCCCTTACTTCCGGGAAGGCCTAAAGCCTAAACCCTAAAGCCTACATGAGCTATACTCTAAACGCCTTCAA